TTGGGAGGGTCCTCGGCGAGTGGCCCCCGCGAACCAGCCTCTGGAACCATTAAGCCAGCCGCGTCCTCTGGAAGGTCAGCACGGCCGGCCCCTCCCAGAGCCACGTTCAAGATGATTGTGTTGATCTAAACCTTAATCGGCGATCCAGCCACCCGATGGATCGCCTTCTGCCAGGTCTGCCGGCCCCCTTATTGACATCTAGGGGAAAACCATCCCTTGATGGTGCTGCGTTTGCCAGGAGCTTGGTAGAAAAATTCTGAATACCAAGGCTTTGATTCTAAATGTCCTCCTTTTTCAGTTTCAACTTGTTTATTCAGGCTTTTCTCTGTGTTTGTTGTGTTTTTAACCTGTTACAATTTTATATGCTGTTATTGTTGATTCTGTTACATAGTTGAATGGGGTTGATCTAGGGCAGTGTTTCTCAGCCTTGGCGGCTGTTAAGATGCGTGGGCTTCAACTCCCAGAATTCCCCAGCCATTGAGTTGGCTGAGGAATTCTGGGCGTTGCAGCCCATGCATGCTGAGTGAGGGATGCTGGGAGTTGAAATCCACAGGGGATTCTGGGCGTTGAAGTCCGTGCACCTTAAAGTTGCCAAGGTGGAGGAACACTGATCTAGTGGTACCACACACCCACTCATCATGTGGTCTTCAGAAAAGGTGTAGGAAGTTGTGAAGAAAATAAAGGCAGAGAATAAGAGAAAAGAACGTGACTTACAATGACATTCAGTTTTCCCCAACGCCATTCAGTCTTCTGTCCTTGCAAGCTAATAGGTCTTCTGGTTCAGGCACTTAACTGCCAAGGAGTTGTCAAGGAATCGCCCAAACAGCTGATGACCCGTGATTGACAGCGAAGAACTATCCATCACAGTGTCCTGGGGTGGGGGAGAGCTGGTGATCAAATGTGGTGGTGCAGTGCAAACTCTACCCCTTCCGTTTTAGCATTTTGGCCTCATCCGGGTTACAGACGGATGCCTTTCCGGCTAACCCTTGAACAGATTTAAGCCCTTCTACCCTTTTCGGTAGTTCTCCTCCAGCCCCTCCGAACATAATTGCTGGCCCAACTACCCAGCTGCGGTGCTCTAATGCCTCTGCATGCTCTGGGCTGGCCTTTGGCTGTAATTTGATTTGATTTGATTGGCATTCTCATCGCTCGTTCCCATAGAGGTTGGAAAAGCATTTTGGTTTCCTGATGTCCCGTACCACACCCATATTCTACAGTTTACATGGTGCCTTATTCTTTAAGCTCCACGCTCTTCTTTCCCTTCTGCTAGAGTCTTTAAAAATGAAAGCAGATAATTGGTTCGTTGTTTAAGATTAGATGGCATTTTACAGTAAATTTAAAGTGGAGTTTGATCGGTTCTGATTTTTGTCCTGGTCCCTAATTCTCTGCTTAAAGGCTCCACAGTCCTTAGCCTAAACAAGCGTATGCCAGTCCGTGCTTACCCGGTCAGTTTCTCCCGCAGGACCAGCCTTTGAAACCACAGCTGAAGGAAAGAAAGCAGCCCCACGGGGGTCGCCTCCTTCCCACCTGCTCTTAGTGGGTGAGGAGCAGGCGGGAGCTCTGCCCAGGGAGGGAGTCAGGTTAGAGAGGTTACCAGGATCTCCGTCCACCTGTTGCTCTCCAGGCCCCCAGGCTTGGCAGTTGCCTCTGATTCGCAGTCCTCTTTCAAACTGCAATTTTTCTGAATGTGTTTCATGGTGAGGTGTGACTACCGAAACATAATAAAAAGGGGGAAAAAAATCAAGCGCTAATAAAATCAAAGAAGAAATTAATAGATAATGGGGGTTAAAATGCACTAAAATAAAAGAAAGACTTATTCATCTTCATTTGTCAATCCTTTAAATATTATTAAGTCTGGAGCGTACAGAAACTTGCTGCTCTGTCTCCTCTGTTTCTTCAATAAAAGGATGTTTTAAATATATGATTTGTATTAAAAGTTTTAAGAACAATAATAATAACTGCACCAAGCTAAGTTAGAACAGAAAAAGTTAAAAAATAACAGAAAAAGCTAAAAGTGCACTTAAGAAGAGAAAACAGAAGAAAATAAGAGCAAGATACAAAGAAAGATGTAAAGACACAAGTGGCTTTCAGTATTCTTCACAGCAGTTATAAGCACAATTATATTTTAACCTCTCTCTCTAAAGTTACAATAAAAGGATGTTTCAGAACTCACAGCGTGGCCAAGTCCTGCAGGGCAGTGTTAAAATGTGGATGGAGCTGACCCAGAGTAGCCTTAAATGGGTCAGAATACTCTACCCCTGCTTCTGTATCCTGATCTTAGTTTTTTGTTAATAGGAATCTTTCAGACTCAGTGGGTCCATCTATGTATGTATATATAGCATTATTTCTTGTTATAATTCCTTAGTTCTTTGTACAGCTTATAAGTGAAGGCTGTTTTTAGGCTGTAGCTGATGATTTTGAGACTAGGGTTGTAAATTTTACATGAAGCATTACCGAAATAAAAGATTCGGTGAAAAAAGTTGTGCATCCCTTTGAACAGTGGGCTCACACATCGTGCCGAGTTATGTGGTTGGTTTTTGCTTAGTATGATACGCAGATCTGGTCTTTGTGGCTTGCAAACCATGATTAACGAGTCTGAAGAACCCCCCAAGACAGTGAAGCAGGACTTTCGGAAGCCCAGTAAAACTTGTTTTCCTGTATGCTTGGGTTTGGGGTTTTCTAATTTATTTATTTTCCTTTTAATTCTTTGTGTTTTATTTTTGTATTATGTAACTTGCTCAGAGCCTTTTTGGAATTGAGAGGCACGTACATCACAGAAGCAAATAAATAACACTAGTTTTGATGCATTCTAGTCACTTCACCCAGAATAGCTGCTACGTAACTCATTCAGAAATTCTGGGGTCTCCTTTTATGTTAAAGAGTCACTGTGTGTGAGATGGGCGGCTATATAAATATGATAAATAAATAAAGTAACCAAGGCCAGTTCTTAGGGCAAGTTGCACATCAGCTGATATGGGTGCTAACAAGAGCAGTTGAGGTTTTTAAACAAGCGGATAAACACTATCTGGACTAGGAATGTGGACTTTAAATTGTCAAGTACAGTCCTTTTTCTAATTAGATGGTAAATAAGATTTTATTTTGAGAAGGATTTTATCAAACGCATATATATTGTGTTAGGTTGGCCAATTTTGTTTTGCTTCCCAGCCGAAACTCATTCAGCAGACAGCAAATTATATCTGGAGCTCACGTATTTCACTTTCTCGTTCAGCACGTGTTTTTCATGCATCGTGTCCATAACTTGAGGAGATCATATTTCTATGCTAACAGCTTCTGGCTTGTGAACAACAAGTTATAGATACAAGTTATGTGTCACCCCTCTTAAAAAAAAAAAAACACCCTTCCCTGGGGGCACCACTACCATATGGTTAAAGGTGCACCATGGAGAGGACCCTTTTAGTTTGCAGGCAGCCTGAATTATCCACAAAAACATTATTGAACAAATTTTTGGCAAAGGGTGATGTAGAAACATGACTTTGCTCATCTTCACAGGATTTCACAAATATCTCTATTATCTGCACAAGCAAGAAGAATGCTAAAAATGACCAGCAGCCTTCAAGATTGCATAACCAGGGAGCCTGTCAATTGGAGTGCAATACAGTGCTTAAGAGGCATGCAATGTTTTTCTTCTGCCTCCTCCCTGGGTGTGCTGTGTAAGGCAATGGTTCTCCAGTGGAGATCGTATTGGTACCCTGTAGATCACCAGCCAAACTCTTAGACTTAATAGAATTGTAGTTCTTGAACTTTCCTGATGTTATCAAGTTGTCTCTATCAGGATCCAGTACACCACCTGATCTATGCTGGGCCTGAAAACTGAATAGCAGCAGTTGAGGAAATCATGAGGAAAGTAACACCATCCTTGAATTCTGCTTCTCAGCTTCTCTACTCTTAAAGTCTGCCCCAGAATGTCCTTCACAACAGTCCAGTTGGCTTCTCCTTAATCGTTTTCTGGTATGGCTTAAATGGGGTTCTTGAGACACAAGTTGCTATTTGTGATGGCTTTTTGGGGTAGCTGAGTCATTCTTGACTCTTTTTCCCCAGCATTTGATCAGGAATATGTCATTAATTTTTCTCCCATGGTCCCTGCATTGGCCCCCGTTCCGAATCTCTGAGGACCAGCCAAAGCTTATCTGTTAAATAGTGCTTGTATAGTGCATACATATGGCAGAAAATTGGGGATGTTTGGACTTATGTTATTGGTTAAGAATGGTGGTCTCCAATTAAAGAAGACCTAGCTTTGCTATGTCCATCATAGCCTGAGGTTATTTTTCCAACCATAGAAAACACATTGCTTGATCGGACTTTGAAGTCTGTTCACCTCAAGGAAAAACTTGGTGTAATTACGTTCTTCGCTGCCAGCTGCATACAGATGTCCTTCAGAGCTCATCTGTCATAGTCCCTAATTCAGATGGGATATGGATCATTCTGCTTTGAGGGGCCCTCGTTATCCTTCCATATACCTTCCAGCCCTCAGGATGCAGCTGTATCATCAACCACAGACAGACGATTCTGTTGCTCTTTTATAGTCAGTATCTGGGAGGGGTAGAGCCACTGCAAGACCAAGCTCTGCTGAGCATTTTTATTGCCTCCTTGGGCTGCAGTCATGTTCTAAGATAACGCCTCTTCCAGTGGTGGAAGCAGTCTACACAGACTCGGTAGGAAGAAGCCAGTCGCAAACGGCTTGAACATGACCTGACATACTTGTTGGTGATCTGATTGACTGAGATGATGTAACTGGCAGGGCTTGACTGGCTCAACCTGTTCTACCTAATTTAGCCTAATTGCAAGGCTTGTATCCTGCCTAGTTCCAAAGTTCCTTTGACATCACATGTTCAGGAAGAACAATAGAGAAAGAAAAATACACTTCATCGGGACTTGTCACAGGTACCTTTCCTCTAAATCAGGATTTGTTAGAGCAAGCTAGTAGTGAATTGGTTTACCTTGCAATCACTGTCTATCATCTGATGCACTTGACTGGAGATGGTTTACTTCAGCTGGATAATCTGCCTCTTGAGAGCTCAAAGCTGGCCTCTGTATCTACAATCCTTCCAGGGCCTTAACCTCACCAGACTTGCCATCAGAAGATACATTTCCAGCTGTCCTTCCTTCTTCTTGCTTCCAGCCCAGTGATTTGATTCTCTAATCACACAAGCTATTTCAACTAGTGTTTCTCAGCCTTGGCCACTTGAAGATGGGTGGACTTCAACTCCCAGAATTCCCCAGCCAGCTATTCTGGGAGTTGAAGTCCACCCATCTTCAAGTGGCCAAGGCTGAGAAACACTGATGTAGACCCAGCAAACGTGGGACCATTTGTGAAATGGCCTTTTTGAGAAGTCATGTGATTTACCTGTTATCCTGGTGCATAAGTGTGTAAAGGAAATCAGGTCACTCCAACTGGTGGATAAAATCAAACTTAACTGTTTCAAGGGGACAAATGCTTTTGATGTAATATTCTGTTAGTGATGCCGTTAAGAATACGTGCTAGGAAAAATATGCATCCTGATGTTGGATCCTAGTTCATGTATTTGAAAACTTACACTGCTTTAAGATGGAATAAATTCATGCTGATGCACGTCTTTCCTTATTTATTGTAATGGTAATTATTCAATTCGGAAAGCAACCATATTTCCAGAAATGTGTGGTTTATTAATTTGAAAAAAAAAATAAAAAATGCTGGTACATATCTGCATTGCTCAAGATTTATTTTGGTATCATTTTTTTTTAAATGGAAGAATTTCGATTGATGCTGTAGCTTGTTGTTGGGACAAGACGTTTATATTTTGCGAATTAAGTTTCTGCAAGCTGAGATCTGATAGAATAGGGGGAAAAATGCTGTTCTGTGTTTTTTTGAAGAAAAAATAAACATGGATTGCTATGCTATATATGTTATGATTGAGTGATGGTTGGTTTTACAAAGCTCTGTTTGTTGTTGCTGTTGATCTTTTTTGTGGTTCTCCTTACCTAAAATATTTCAGAAATGGGGAAAAATGTCTCATCAAGGTATAAATCAGCATATTTATAACAAGAACTTTCTTCTGTGCTGTACTCTAATAATTCTTTATTAAGGCTCTTTATAATAAGCAGACGTTTGCTGTCATTGAGAGTTATTTCACTTGTAGTTTATATCCCTTAGAATTACTTGTAGCATTTAAAAGTCTTGGGGGGGATTTTTTTTTTTTGAATGTATGTCAAATCACACAAAATAACATTTAGGTCTATATTTAGCCAGCCTAAGCTGTAAATAATTATGAAACATCTGGAGTTGGTAAAGGGATGAAGGATGGCTTGCTAGAAGTAACTTTATTCTACAGTAGGCAATTCTTATTTTTCCCATGTTTGTCACTCGTTTTGTGTTGCTGAAAATCATAATGCGCCATTGAGTTTCTTTATAAACGTGTGTCAGATTTTTCCCCTCCATTCTGAGACATGGGGACGGTTATCTACATTACAAAATAACCTAGTTTGAAAAAGGCAGCCCTGCGTGCATTTCCATCTACCTGTGCAAGTTTTTTTTTTTTTCTTTTAAGAGAGCAACATCCTAAGAGTGAAATCGGTTGACTTAGGGACAGGAAGAAGAAAACTGTATTTGTCTGAGAAGCGTTATATCCTTTTCTCTTTAATGCTTTTTTCTTGCCTTATCTTTTGGTTGAAGAAAATAATAATACTTATTTGCAGATTTCCCACTTTTCTGTGACGAAATCCAGGCCAAGATGGCACATAACAATTTTTTAAAAAATTATAACCTATCAAGGTGCAGGAAAAACTTAGCATGAGAGATAAACACCATATCAACAACAGCAACGGAGCAGTGTGTCGCTTGCAGGCAAACCAGTCTCCCTTTCGGAGTATTTAAGAAATTGCCCTGTGCTCTTATACCCAGAACTGCTTGTATAAACTCTCTAAAAATAAGATGTTTCAGCCCCAGACTAACAGTATGAAGTTCACAAGATGCTTGGATGAGGAGGACAGAAGAAGACAAGCAAGTAGTTCTCTGTTTGACTGCAGTGGGGGCTGATCCTTTAGCCTGATCTGTGGAGAGGATCTGTCTTGAAGCTCTTCTTCTGTGACAGCCTGATGAGATGGCTGGGGACAGGTGACCACTGAAAAGGGAGAAGTCTAAAGTCTAAACTGTTGCCGATCCCCCTGGTTTTGGACCTGGTGCTTTGATTGCCCAGTAAATCCAGCGTCTTCCAGTATTTGTTTTTTGTTGTTTTAAAGTCACCTAGCCATCTTCTGAGAAGATACATGCTTATTAAATGGTACATGGTTACATGATTGCCCTTGAGGCAGAATGATGTAGAAACCAAAAATTCTTGATGGTTTTTATTTTGAAATCATCTTCTTTCCAGGAGATGCAGAAAGGTTGTGTAATTCCTTTTTCTGTTGTCCAGTACAGGTGTTTCCATCATATCTGGACATTCCTGCATATCTGAATATTGGTGGAAACACCAATTGGGTGAGAAGAACTTGATTGGGTCGCTTTGATTGTGAGCCTACAGTTTTGAAGTGTGGTCCAGAACCTTCAGAGGCCATTGTTTGATAGAAAAGGAAATGTTACCCTTCTGAATGAGTGGAAAAGCAAAATATTCCGCCACTTTCTGAAGATAGCGGGAAAGGTACTTCATTCCAACTCTGTAGGTTCTACAGATACCATTCCCCCAGTGAGCTTATGTGTCCACAAGATGGTGCCCTTATCCTGGGAAAGACCCCATTCCAGACCAATTCTGAACTTAGATTGGGAAGATGGACTATCAGCTCTGTTGTTCTGAAATTTCAGGAAGTTATATCAATGACTGTCCCAAACCTCCTCATGGTGTTAGTCTTGATTTCTTTTAAAAGTTGTGATAATTTGTACCTGTCCAGTAGTTTAAACAATCTGCATAGTTTAAATTTCATCTATGAAGTTGTGAACTTCTCTTCTTGAAAATTTATTTATTTATTTTTGTGGCATTCTCCAGATAGAATGATGATGACTTTCAGTCATAAAATCTAATGTTTTTATGTGCAGTCATAACTACAACAATGGTCCTGTTTGAAAATGGAAGAAAATGAAAGATTTTCTTTTTCCAGATGGTGCTGATATTACATTTTTTCCCAAGGTATCATGAAGTATCATTCTACTTCCAAAGTACCACTTTTCAAAAACCAATCTCATTAAGGTTCTATCTTGGAACAACAGAAAATATGTATTTATATATTTTCCATCAGCGTGGTTGTCTTAAAAATATTTGAAGATAACAATTTTACTGCCACTTAATTATCTATCTATGTGTCTTTTTCTGAACTGTCCAACCAAATAGCATGTTCAGGGCTGTGAAACTTTCAAGAGGAATTAGAAACCCCCTCTGTATGTTCTGTTGCTTGTTAATTTTTTTGCAGGGGGGGGATGAAAGATGAGGTTCCTTCCCTGAACCCACCAACCCCCAATGAATCAACAGTGAAATGTTTGAAGAAAAGTTCAGAAGAGAGGAGATGTCAGAATAGCAGTCAAGAGTATTGCAGGCTAGTGGAATTGCTGGAGAAGAGCTGGAAGGAGCGGACATTGGTGCTGTCCTAAGAACCAAAAAGTAGGGTGGAGGAGGAAGAGGAGGCAAGGCAAAATTGATAGAAGAGAGCATGGGAGACAGAAATCATACTCTACGTATTTTGGCATGTGGGTTGGGTTCCTTAATTAGCCCTTGTGCCTAAAATATAAAATTGACTATACTGATAATCAGAATGCAACTCAGCCATGGGATTATTATGTTATAAATTAACAAACTTCTCTCTTATCGTGTGGGTACTCCATACCTAGGCTATTCAGATGTTGCAGAAATCTCCAGCATGGAAGTGAAGCTTACTTTGCCCCTCCCAAGACCTTTTTGCTAAAAGGAAGGGTCCCTTGGATCACCAGTAGACTTTGGGGATGGGGGCAAGGCGCATCTTTGCATTTTGAAGGGTGGCTCTTAACTCTGGTTAATTTTCTAGCCAATGAAGTACTCTACAAAAAGGTACTCACAGATATAACAACATACAGCATTTCCAATCTGGCCGTGCTGTTGTCCAGGGTCCATTTGCTTCTTCTTAATATCGTCACATATATTCAGCCCCTTCAACCTTTCTGCAGTGCCTGGAACAGGACAATGTGGCTTTGCACTTGCTAAACCATGGGTTCTTTAACCACAGTTTATTGATTAAACCACAGTTGTCTGGGATCGTACAAAATACCAAGCCATACAATATTCCTTATGATCCACAATGATGCTGGTTGTCCCTGCAGAGATATCTCCTGTGCCTGCACTTGGATACTCACAGGAGCAGAAAAGGGTTTTGAATTTCCCACAGTGAGTTTACATTCTTGTCCTGGAATCGTCTACACTTTCTCCTCCTCTTTTGGGCATTTCTGTTACTTTTTCTTTTGTAACCATAGATATATTTTTTTCTTTTTCCCTCTAGATGGTTTTAAGCTTCTGTTAACTGTTCAGTTCCTTGGTCCAGTTGACTTCAATTTTGGGGAAGACTTTTTTTTTTTTAATATATAAGTATATATAGGTTGAAAAGTTTAAAACTAAATCATTGGTTTTAAACTTTTCATTAAACTTTTCAACTAATTGGCAAAATACATTGGTACAGAATAGAAATTCAGAAGACAAATAGTTACATATTAATGAGGGGATTGAGGCAGAATTTTATACATAGTTAAGTCATACTGTTAGGTTAAAAGAAAACAAAGCTATCTATTTGTTAATAGTTAAGGATAAAATTTAACCACACAATGGCACTTAATGTGCTTTAAAGGTTATGTGAAATATATTGTGAGTAAAAATATTAGAAATTCTTAAATATTTAGTAATAGAGCTTTCAAAACAACTAAAATTATCAGGAAAATTCATTGTCTTCTATAC